CATTTTTATTTGTATCTGCAAGAAAAACACAAAAATATCTTTCATTAAAGCGCAATATCTCAAAAATAGGTATAAAAATATGTCTAAAAACATTATGTATTTTAGGTGTATCAGAGACTATTTGAGTTGATGTGTGATGCGAGTGATTATGTAAGTAGGACAATTTTAGGGCAAAAGTAGGACAAGATTTTTAAAGTTATATACTACACTAGTAAAACTCTTAATGAAGCTCAAATTAATTATATCATTATTGAGAAGGAGTTATTAGCAATAGTATGTCTTAAATAAATTCAGGTCATGTCTCATTAAAGCTAAATGTACTGTGCATATAAATCACTCTGCTATAAGATATTTGATGCAAAAGAAGGATGTTAAACCAAAATTAATTAGATGGATCCTTTTGATGCAGAAATTTGACTTTGAAGTAGATAGGAAGGGATCTGATAATCAAATAGCTAATCATTTATCTAGGCTGGAGCAAGAAAAATCATTCAATCTTGAAAATGAAATTAACAAATATTTTCCAAATGAGAAATTATATACTATTACTGAGTGGCATGTGTCGTGGTATACCGATATAGTTAATTTCATCGTTAGTGATCTTATACCTATGGATTGACATACCAAGAACATCAAGAATCCACAATTAAAGAAATTTGTACACAATGCAAAGTTTTACTTTTGGGATGACCTGTATTTATATAAACAATGTAAGGATCAAGTTATTCGAAGATGTGTACCTTATGAAGATACCTAAAAAATTATTCAAAAATGTCATGATTTTGATTTTGGGAGACATTTTGGAGTAGATAGAACTTCATACAAGATTTTATAATCTGAATTTTATTGGTCTACTCAATTTAGAGATGTTAATACTTATGTAAAAGCATGTGATCGATGTCAGCGTGTAGGCAATATTTCGAAAAGGAATGAAATGCCCCTAAATTTTACATTGAAAGTTGAAATTTTTTATGTATGTGGTTTGGATTTTATGAGATCATTTATACCATCTTTCAGAAACTTATATATTTTAATCGCAGAGAACTATATTTCAAAATGGATTGAAGTAGTTGCTTTACCCCGCTGTGATGATCATAATGTTTCAAAATTCTTAAAGAGAAATATTTTTACCAGATTTGTAATGTCAAGAGTGATCATTATGAATGGGGAAAGTAATTTCAAGAATAAGAGAATTGAAACATTAGTTGAAAAATATGATATTAAACATCGGATTGCCACCGCATATCATCCTCAGACCAGTGGTCTAGCATAATTATTTAACCGTGAAATTAAAAGAAACTTGGAAAAAACTGTAAATCATAATAGAATTGACTGGTCTGCTAGATTAGATACTGCATTATAGGTCAATAGAACTGCATACAAAACTTTTGTAAAAATGTCCCCATATAGATTAATTTTCGGAAAGACTTGTCACTTACCAGTGAAACTGGAGCATAAAGCTTATTGGGCTATTAAGGAATTTAATTTTAATTTGAAAGATGGTGGTGATAAACTATTATTGAAATTAAATGATCTCGAGAAGATTAGAAATGAATCTTGTGAAAATGCTAAAATTTAAAAAAAAAAATGAAAAAGTGACATGATTGGAAGGTATTAAAAAAAGATTTTGTATATGGATAAGAAGTTTTATTGTATAATACAAGATTGAAATTATTTTCCGGAAAACTTAAATCCATGTGGATGTGGTTATTTATTATGATGAAAGTCTACCCATATGGTGTTGTGGATATTAAATATTCAAAAACTGAAAGAATATTTAAAGTAAATGAACATAAAATGAAAGCTTACTTTGATGGGCGCAAACCTATCTTTAATGAAGTCTTGATGTTGGATCAACCAGAGTAAAGATTGGATACGTCGGGCTATTGTGACACTCATATTTTTCTCCGAACTATGTTAAATATTTATTTATGGCAAATGTTTATGTTGTTTAGTTTTTTTCATGTTAGTATACACAATAGTTAAAACCAAAGAGACTGGTTCATCTGCAAAGTAGGATAAGAATACCAAAATGATATTTTAATCATATGCCTCGAGGAGATCAAGAAGGAAAATAGACCAACAACCTATTTCAACAAGGAGAATAATAAAACATCATAAAAAATATTAAAAAAATAAAGATAGAGAGTAAGATAGGATGAAGTGAAGAAACAAGTGGGATCAACTGAAAAAGAATTGAAAAATCTGATATGAACAGTTTTGTTACAAACAACATTACTATACATGGGTAGAATGGTCATTTGCCCAGAAACAGCTGTATCACAGTTATTTTCAAACTACAAAAAACAAACAGACAACAAACTTATTTGCAGTAGCTTCTACGCAGCAGCTGCCGCACAGCAGTTGTTAAGTTGCAGCTGCCCCCAAGAAGACCCATAGGCATCTTCCTGATTCATTTCCGGATGAGAGGTTTTGTCGGCGTCGATTAGCTATTATCAACTTTCAGGCTCAGTCAACTTTAGCTTTTACGTCTTGACTCATCCAGATTGGTTCGTACGGCTTGTTGTAACTCACAATCTCTTTGTAGGGATTTTTTCCGTCACATTCTTCTTCTAAACTGTTAGATCTCTATAAGATCAACACTGACATCTTTTTATGGTATATAAACCTACACTTAAAAAGATGTATCTTCATCTAATACTACATACTCCATAAATTTGCTACAAATTTACATGCAAATAACCATTTCCTATGTCTATGTGTGTGTGTGTGTGTGAATATCTAATATTTTTAACCACATGCCCTTTTCAATTATGTGTTGCACACCTTGTGCCAAATAAAAAGAAAAAGAAAGACTTCCGACAGCAATTTTTCCATAAAATTATCATGACCAATAAATACAATATCAAATAAGAAATGCAACACAGACAATCTTGAACCAAGTAGAAATATCATCCTTATTATTTTTAAGTCAACCTAACTACTAAAGAACAAGTTTTCAAAACTATTAAGATCAATTCATGTCAATCTACGCATAACATGAGATGTTAAACCTCCTCTCTTCTGCTTAAATCCCTTTTTAAAACTCAAATTTATCAACAAATATAATGCATATAAACTCCAAATCAAATTGAGGAACTGTGAAAAAAAAACAATAAAGCAAATATAAGGATTGCAATTAATATAATATAATAGAAATTTGTTCAGATGAAACCAGTAGATATCTGAAGAAAATTCCCTTACAAAGAAGACAGAAGAGAGAGTACAGGCAACATTCTTCCCCTAAGAGTTCATGAAACTTTAGAACCCAAGGTTTGAAATGAAATGGAATCAAAATTTCACCTAGAAACAATATGCCATGACCGAGCTTCAGAGCAAGCCTTTAATGGCTGAAGTGAGGCGAAGATTCGGTAAGCGGCAGCTGCTGAAACACAGACTTGTTGAGAGAGGTTTGTGATGGACCAAGCTGCCCATTAAAACCACCAGATGCAATTTGCTCCGATGCGATCTTGCAGGCCTTCTCCAACAAGGAGTCTATGTAGTTGTGATAGGCTTCCATTCGAATCTTGATGTGCTTCTGAACCTGTTGAAAGAGGATTATAAATTCTAGTAGAATCTGATAAGGATTTCAATTTGATGGATAAAAAAAAAAAACAAGCTAAGATCCCTTTAGCATCACTTTTATTTCTTATTTTATATATTCTTTTTATTTTTATTTTGTGTAGTTTATATTTTGCTTTGATATAAAATATATTTAACTATTTGATTAAAGTATGATTATTTTTAAAACACTCAAAATATTTAAAAGTACTTTTGAATGTTATCAAAAACATATTAATTTATTTTTTAGAAATAAAAAAAATATTAAAAAAAACACAGTAAACAAACATATTTTTAAAAATAAAAGAAAAAATGAAAATGAAAACAAAAAATAAAATTGAACCCAAACCAGCCCTGAGGATTTCTTGAAGGGGTAGAACTTAAAAGCAAGAGAAAGGCACTTCTAAATTCGAGATAAATCATATATGAGAAAGTATGACATAAAAGCTTTAAACTTAAAATTCTCTTGTAACTATCCAAGTTACTAAAGCTTTGCCTCTCCTAAATTTGAGGTTAAGTGCTTACACCCGGTCTCACTTTAAGTTTTAGTTTCGCCACTACCTGCTTGGTTCGTCGCAAATGAAAGCAAGCCTCTTTTTCTACATATTAAAGGTTGCTCGAGTGCCCGGTAGGTATATGATGCCTGGTTTTTTCTATTTTTAATTGTATAAGAAATGGTGTAATAATCATAATAAAAGTATTGTAACACATATAGATAAAGCTACCATCTTCACTTTATCACTACCCACCTCTTAATCGTAGCCAAAGCGCCAAACACCACCCAAAGATGACTGAGATCATCAATATCAGATTTGAACACAAAGGATTGAAGAACTTGAACAGAAATTATTTATTAAAAGAAGGAAAATAATGCAACAATCAGCCTAGAAATAATTAAATTGTAAAAAGCAAAACTCTTTTGCAGTTTAATAAAGAACTTAATTCCAATTTAAAAAACAGCGGAGCTAATTATAATTCAAAAAACTTGAGCTCAACCACTTACGTAGCACTGAAAGATAAACTAACTTGTAAAGTAGGAGGCGGCATTTAGTAATACCGTAACAATATCAAAGAGACCAGAAATAACTCAGCTGTAAGAAGTAATACTGCTTTTCCAGTTTAACAATGATCTTTATTCTTAATTAGATAACTTCTGGACTATTTATGTTTCGAAACCTTGAAATAGCTACTAAGTATGATTAGGGCGGTAAATGAATCAGACATTTGGCAAGCTACTCGTGGCCCGGCACAATAAAAGCTCGTTTATGATCGTTTGATTAATTAATCAAACGAGCTTGAATGGTTTCATAGGTACTCGATTACTTAATGAACAAGCTTGAACAGTTTGTTTTTTTATTTATTTATGTTCATGAATAATATCATTTAAAACTCACAAGAAACTTTGTGAACAAGCTTGATCAAGGCTCAATTACAGCACATTTATAAATAGTATCATTTAAATGTTTATTTTTAGGTTTAAAGAGCATTGTTTGATATGAACAAACTGCTCATATCAAACTTGAATAAGGGTCAATTAATTCTAAATTAAGGCTCGATTAGAGCACGTTTATTTTATTGAATGGGATGCTCGTTATTAAGCTCGATAAAACCGTACATGAACCAAGCTCAAGCTAAGCTCGAATAGGGTAACTATATGAGAGCTAGCTGGGTCAAGTTATGCAATGTATTTATTTTTCTATTCAAAGGAGTTTCTATTGTAGGGAAAATTTTTCTTTTGATGTATTTTAAATGTTTGGAAATTTTCTTTAGAACTCATCTTACTTTGTACAAAAAACAAAAAAAAAATTTGAAGACTCTGCTATCTTTCACTTCACACTCATTAAACATCCAAACAAACAATCGTTTACCCATGATTTAAAATTGTGCAATATGAGGGTCATCTCAACTAGAAGTGTAAACGAGCCGAACACGAGCAAGCCCAGGCTCAACTCGTGTTCGGCTCC